GATAGCAGGGCTATAATGTATGAAGAAACTACATACAGTAAAAAAAAGATTATTGACTTTCTTTCTGCTCTGGAAGGATTCAAAGTATTATGTAAAATTATAGAGATCATGGAAGAAGTTGTTGATGACTTTAAATCCAAAATCCTTAAACAGGTCATTACTTTGCATACAAAAAATCCTGAGGGCCGTTTTCCTGACTTAACTACAGAACTGAATCGATGGGATACAGCCTTCGACCATGAAAAGGCTCGAAAGACTGGACTGATTACTCCCAAAGCAGGATTTGACTCTGATTATGACCAAGCTCTTGCTGACATAAGAGAAAATGAACAGAGTCTTCTGGACTATTTGGACAAACAGCGCAGTCGAATTGGCTGTAGGGCCATAGTCTACTGGGGAATAGGTAGGAACCGTTACCAGTTGGAAATCCCAGAGAATTTCACCACTCGTAATTTGCCAGAAGAATATGAGTTGAAATCCACCAAGAAGGGCTGTAAAAGGTATTGGACCAAAACCATTGAGAAGAAGTTGGCTAATCTGATAAATGCTGAAGAACGCAGAGACACCTCTTTGAAGGACTGCATGCGGCGACTGTTCTATAACTTTGATAAGAATTACAAGGACTGGCAGACTGCTGTAGAGTGCATTGCAATGTTGGGTAAGTCTTCCATATGCTTGCCCCTAGGCTGTGGTTAGTAATGCCCTACATCCCAGTTGTACATTGGGATTAAAAAATGGATAAGTGTCCCCAGTGGTGTGTATCCCAAAGCCCCAAATAGCAAGGTATATATTTTGACAAGTATATCCTGCCTCCAGAAAGAATAGGTTGCCGATAGCAATGTTTGCTGTAAATCTAATAGTTTGTGTCCTGGTCACATCCCCTTCTCCAGTCTTAAGTAACTGAACAAATGGCCGTAAAAGGTTTTTTAGTATTTAGCGAGACAGGCTATTTTAGGTCAGTTTATCTAATAGGATTTTTCAGCACTTGACAAAATTTTTGCTTCCAGTTTGGGTTAAATGAAACTATCCCTTGATGATCACTTAATTTTATTATTAACCTAGCATGTTTTTATGTATTTTGGTGAGTTTCTTTACTTGCATATTTAAAATATTTTAATATTTACTTCTTCTATAGCCTAAAATGCCACATTTTCTTGTAATTGCTTTCTTCTTATTTTATACATGCAAGAACAGGGTAGAGGTCAGAGGTGTAGGGGGTGAGAAGATTCACCAGAGACAGTAGGGAACAGAACAGGCAGATAGGATGAAATAACATGGCTGAGGGGAGTGGCAGGTGAGACAGGAGAGGTCTGCTTCACCCTGTGGGTCAGCTCGGATAGCTCTGGATAAATTTATAGTGCTGTGCATTAACCCCTGGTACCACCAGGGAGGCCCCTCTTGTAATTGATTTCTGAGGGGGCCGGTTTCATATATTTGTAATTTGATAACCATTTCAGTTTGTGGCAGGTTTTTTTTTTTTTTTAAATATAACCACCATAGCTTACTCAGAGTTGTAACATGTTATTTTGATCTAAACCCAACTACTCAGAATAGAAGAGCATCCTTTTGTTGTGCCACTTTATTTCTTAAGACAATACAACTTAGAACACAACGGATAGTTATAAATTATAGTGTCTCTTTGCTGTATTAGCTTTCCCATGGCACATTCTTGGTCCAAATGTTTGGGACCAGGGGAACCTAAGTTTTAATTTGCAGGAGAAGATAGTATGGCTGAAATTGAAAACTTATTTCTCAAGGGCTATAATGGTGTTAGAAGTTAGTGATAAATTTTGCTTAGTAAAAATGCCTGTTAGAGAAACACTGTTATTTCTAAAAAGAAATAAACGATCACACCATTACTGAGAAGTATTTTTGGAAGCCTTAAGGGAGTGGGGTTTTTGTACTTAAGAACTCAAAAGTGATGAAGCCTCACTCTTTCCCTCTTTTACAGATGTCTTACTGTGCCTGGCTAACTATAGTCGAGGGGGTGATGGTCCCATGTGTCGTCCGATAATTTTGTTGCCAGAAGAACACACACCCCCCTTCTTAGCTCTTAAAGGATCACGTCATCCATGCATTACAAAGACTTTTTTTGGAGATGACTTTATTCCTAATGACATTCTAATCGGTTGTGAAGATGAGGAAGAAAATGGCAAAGCTTATTGTGTACTTGTTACTGGGCCAAATATGGGGGGCAAGTCTACACTCATGAGACAGGTAAATTGATCCTTACAGCTGTGTTATAGAAAGGTATTTGTAACACCTTAAGAATAACTATATTAACATAGTTATCTTTTTCCAAGTAAGCATAATAGTAGAAATAAATTTCAGCTACTGACTAGTTACTGGGAAACACCTTGTGTCATACATAAATTGAGAATTAAATTTACCTTATGGGTCAAATATCTGCCTGATAGTTGAAGAAAAGTTTCATGTCATGATCTCTTAAGTTCTTTGACTTGACTGAATTTCCTATTAAGGCAGTTGTGTTCATAGTGGATGAGATTATGCAGCTGTGTCCTTACTTTAGACTCATTTGTAGGATGACTTCTTACAAAACACCATTGTAGACTTAGGTAGTAGGTAAATTTACCTGTAGTAACTGCTGGGAGCTGCTTTTAAGGAAGACAAGTAGACTCTGTAACATGACAAAGTTTGTTGGCATCCCCGCCGTCCTACTGCTCTCCCAGTGTATTATACTTCTGTAGAGTGGGCAGTGTAGTGTAATAAGGTGTCTTTCAACCATTGTTGTTAATGAAAACTGGCCGGAGAGAGTGCTGTCTGGAGAGTGCAACAAGAAGATTCACCAGAGTCTGAGTGGGGGAGCAGAAGCAGGCAGATTGACTGAAACACACTGCTGAGGGGAGCAGTGGGCAAGACAGGAGAGGTCTGTTGAGCTATGTGGGTCAGCTCCCTGGCCGGAGATCACATGGCTGGTGATAGCTTGATAGTGCCAAGATTTAACGTTTAGTGGGTTAGTATATAGGTTCTGATGTTTGAAGGCCAATTAAGGCTCTAAGCCTCTTGTTTTTTAATCATTTTTTTCTATTTAGGATATGAAGATTGTTTTCAGTGTTGACTCTTATGTTGATTATGTAAGAAAATGTTGATAAGCTTGGCTTGTTAATCTGTTTTCTGGAGATTTTTTTAAACTTATGGATATAAGAATTAGGGTATGGAGGGGTTGGGGGAAGCAGTGAAAGGATTAACCAGAGACAGAATGGGAGCAGGACAGATGGACTGACAGAAATACACCGCTGAGAGAACAGTGGATAAGATGGGAGGCCTGTTGCTCCATGTGGGTTAAATTCCCAGTAGGGGATTCAACTGGTAGTTTCATGGTAATGAGACTTGCGCCAACAGGGAGGCCATGGAGATATTCTTTATTTTTTAAATGTCAGTGGTTGAGACCTTTTTCTCATTCACAGGTTGGTCTTCTAGCTGTAATGGCCCAGATGGGCTGTTATGTGCCTGCTGAAGTGTGTAGGCTCACACCAATTGATAGGGTGTTTACCAGACTTGGTGCCTCAGACAGAATAATGTCAGGTAAGTTTCTCCCACCTATTTAAGGCTTTATTTGAATATATTTTAAGTGATGCATATATCTGCCCCTGAATTTGCAGATAAGCCATATAAATTTGATGTCTGATTTTTTGTAATACTAGAAGGGAAACCAGACATTTGAAAACATTACTCCCAGTAAGATTTAACCTTTAGTGTCACTGGTTAGTTTACAACAGAATCAAATGATAATGAAAAATTTTAAATGAACTTACTGTTACCAGCTTCTTAAAATGATCACCCATTTGAAAAATTTTTTTTTTAAGGTGAAAGTACATTTTTTGTTGAGTTGAGTGAAACTGCGAGTATACTTACACATGCAACAGCACATTCTCTGGTGCTTGTGGATGAATTAGGTAAGACATTCAAGTTCCCATTTGAAGACTTTCTTAGGTAGAAGATGGTCTGAAGGACATTTCTTAAAAAGCACATGAATCTACTCATAGTTTGTGTCACATGACCCATATGTATGTTCATAAGACTGAGGAGGTTTAAGGCAGTAATTAGTAAAATATCTCTAATTCTGTTAGTTTAGTTGTATGTGGGAATGAGACTAAATAAGGAGAATAGGAATTTTCTAAAGCTCAGGGGGAAATGCACACTCCCCAAACCCCCTAAAAGCTAATTAGCAGACCCATTTAGCTAAATAGTTCCTATTTGTAGAATGCTCTTAGATATATGGATTCAGCTTTTTTGGGAGGTGAAGGATATCCCTTATGTTTGGTATAGTACAGATTGTATAACGATTTATACATATTTTAATTCCACAGGAAGAGGTACTGCAACATTTGATGGAACAGCGATAGCAAATGCAGTTGTTAAAGAACTTGCTGAGAATATAAAGTGTCGCACTTTGTTTTCTACTCACTACCATTCGTTAGTTGAAGATTATTCTCAAAATGTTGCAGTGCGCCTAGGACACATGGTAAATACGATTTTTTGGGAGTAATCAAGCCAGGTAGTTTCCCTGCTAACATATAACTAAAACATTTTTCTTTCTTAGGCTTGCATGGTGGAAAATGAATGTGAAGATCCCAGTCAGGAGACTATTACCTTCCTCTATAAATTCATTAAGGGAGCTTGTCCTAAAAGCTATGGCTTTAATGCAGCGAGACTGGCTAATCTTCCAGAAGAGGTTATTCAAAAAGGACACAGAAAAGCAAGAGAATTTGAGAAGATGACTCAATCACTGCGATTATTTCGGTAATTAACATTAGACATTATTTTGCTTTGTGGTTTTAACCTTGTAAAGGGGGGGGGAGGAGATGGATGGAAAGGTAAAAACTAAAAACCTTTCTTTCATTTTAAGGGAAGTGTGTCTGGCTAGTGAAAGGTTGACTGCAGATCCTGAAGCTGTCCATAAGCTGCTGACATTGGTTGCGGAATTATAGACTACATTAGAAGTTAACTTTAGACAAAGGTGGTAAATTCAGACAACATTATGATCTAATAAACTTTATTTTTTAAAAATGACCATTTTTCCATTTTCTTTCTAGGAAATTAAACCCTTTTAATTCTTACCTACCTTCTACATAATGGTTATTGAATACTCCACAATATATTAAGTCTAGATGTTATGGTACATGCATACACTTTCAGGCTGTTTATACCCACTGTCACCAATACACATAAATGGGGGGAGGGGGAAAAGATCTATGAAACTGTATGGGGCTGTATATATACTTGTCTCAGCTTAATGCAGGAAATTGTTTTAATTTCCAGCAGTTTGTCTAAACTGTTCAAAAAAAAACTATGAACAGAGTTCAAATACAGGACTGTTTTGAAGAGACTTTCTAAAGTGTACTTTAAAACATAGTAGTTTTTACCTTTCACAAAACTGAGTTACAAGAATACTTTTGTTTTACAGTGCATCCCTTCCTAGGAAGTCTCATTAAAACACTCACTTTTTCTAGGGGTGGTTTTGAATGCTGCACAGGGAAGGGAAGGAAATAATAGTCTTAACTTTTCTTAAAGGATACCAGAAACATTGCTGGATATAATTTAAGATTAGTGTTTTCTCTTTCATAGAAAGAACGTACATACTGGGACATGAGTACAGTTACAGCAAGTCTAGGTGTGCTAACAAAACAGGGCACATTCAAGTACAATAAGATTTTGCTTGAAATTAAAAACAAACTACATGAGATTAAAGCATTAAAATCATATTTCTCAATCTGAATACATGTTAAAAAAAATCAAAAGAAACGCAGAAGTGCTAGCTCACATTTTTACCATATTACAAAAGCAATTGGTACCCATGTCCATAAAGGCAGCAACAAAGCTGCTTGTCTAATGAAGAGTACTACTGCAAATTGGACTGCATTCAATGCTAGTTGTAAAAACACCAGCTTTTTTTCAGAAGTTGGTATCTGTACAAAATTGCAGCTTATTTTCTTCACTTTTGTCCCTTCAAAAGTCTTTACACAGTAATGCTAAAACACCCAGCTTTGAGATCCTGAGTCAATATATTGCCACTTTCTTTTTGGTAGCTTGAGCTTCATAGTGTCAACTGACCTCTTGTATCCATTTTTAATACAGTCTCTTCCTGTAGCATGGGCAAATATTTTAAATCTTCTTCCAAAAAAAAAAAGGTTTTTAAGTTATGATGTTAGAATGGCAGGATTTTTTCTTTAGGGAAGGAATTCAGTTGTGCTGCAATGTATTAGATTCTATAGGTGGAGCAGAGTCATATAGTGTATCTGTATCATGTGTAGGCTCACCAGCTAATGTACAAGGATTAGACAGTGTTCCAGCACCACAGTCACAGAAAAACCTAAAGCAAAATGAAAACCCAAAAATTAGGAAAGTGAGGGAGTTGGGAGGGGGAGGTTCATACAGCAAGCAAGTCTGCTACGTACCTATCATGTCTAATAAATTCTACATCATGTCCCTGATGGCACTTCTTAATGCAGTTCACACATATGGCGTTTCGATCTGTGGTGTTACAAGTGTGACATCTGAAAAGCAAAAGCTTAACATTTATTTTTCTCAAACATAACAGTTACTCAACACACTGCATTGTGCATATATATACTACTCTATGACCTTTGGTTTACAAAGAATGAACTAAAAAAATCTGGCTTGAGCCCAAATTGTGAAAACAGATTTTACTAGAGTAAGTACATTGTTTTTGAGTCTCCTGAGGAAAACAATTTGTAAATAGTAACTTTCATCAAGGAAAACAAAGCTATCATGTCTTTCTTTACTGATCAATTTGGGGAAGGGAGAGTCAAAACTGAGTGACTGGGAATATGGGAAACATAATTTTTACTTTGAAACTCCAAGTAGATTAATACAAATACTTGGGTCAACATTTCCAATGTATTAAAAACATTACACATTTTCATATTTATGATCCTAAACAAGATCCTCAGATTATAGAAAATCTGGACAATTAATAGCAGTTAGATTATCCTACCCCCAAATAGCCAGTTGACTGTGTTACGTAAGAGAAAGATTTTATAAAAATACAACCACTTGCCAGTTTAGGAAATTAATAGTCACTGTATTCCCCCTTTTTAAAACTCAAATAATTTTGAAGTATACCTGTAGAAATCATGCATGGGATAGCTGGTATAACTTGATATTTTATATAAACACTGGCCTCTGCTAACAGCCTTTTCTATGGCATCTTGATTGTTCATTATTTTGTTATCTGTAATAAAGAAAAAATGAAATTCTAGAGGACAAAGATTTAAGGTTAAAAAAAATATTACAGGAATTTTAATAGATTCACTAGCTTTAAGAGCTTTTTTTAAAGGCTAATCACCCAATGAAGTAAAAACATGTGCATGGATTCTCCTTGTACAAGACATTCAAACTTTAAAATAGTTTGTGTTTATTGCTAATTTGTAGAGCAAAGGAAAAGAATCAAGTTATTGACTAATCGGCTTTTGATTATCTTTTTTTTTGTTGTTGCTGTTTTGTTTATCTATACGCAGAACACAGATTCCAACATACCTTTCATTGTCACATTAACACCAGATGCTAAGAATAAGCCTCCAAACCGGTTGTTAAAAATCTGATTGCCTTCTAGTGTTGCAGTTGCATGATTTGTAATTTCAATACCTGAAGTAAAATGTACAAACAGTATCACTTTATACAATCTCTTAAAAGAATCCGAAACACAGCAAATATAAACATTCTTTTATATAAAAAGTATATTAATAATTGCTTGGATCACTGACAGTAATACTCACTTCCCACTATTAATAGTCCACTATCCTTACTGAAGGAATGAAGTAGAGGGACAAATACATACATTTAGGTAGCATGTAGTTTACATTATTGGCAAGAATAGGTGCTAGACCACTTTGAAATTAAAAAGTTGAAATATATATGCATGGTATTTGGATTTTGCTTACCAAGCCAAGACCTTTTTAAATCCTGTGTGTGTGTGAGGGGGTAGAGGGACTTGAACATACCTATTTCTAGTGGTGGCATAAACCTGCACTTAACTGTATTCACTAAATGTTTCTTCTATTACTGAATAGCAAGGGCAGTATTTCTAATGTTTGGCTTAGAGTAGAAGAATCAAGAACTTGTATCAGATGCTCTCATAAATGATTGTTAATGGACAGCACACTGCAGTCATTTGCAAAAGATAACACTAAAAAATAAACACAACAAGGTACAGTAACAAGAAAATACAAACCTGCAGCAAATCCATCAAATATTCTGTTTTTTCTTAAGACTGGATGACTATTAGTACTGATGAGAACACCTGCTTGAGCATTCCTGAAAATATCATTTTCTTCAAGGAGACCTGTAATAAAATATTTCTCAGATTAAGGCTAATGCATATCACAAAATTTACCAGTCCTTGGGTGGTATTTAGGTTTTCTTTTAGCTTCATATTAACTGCACTGAGAAAGTCACAGCACTAATTTTTCAGCCAAAAAGAAAGTTTACTAGTAAAAAGTATATAAGGCAGGATTTTACTAAAAACTGCTAACAGTGGCAGATACCCATTTTAACCAATAAATTAGAAGTTCCACAGTAGGAGTGATAGTTTCTGGTTTACTCTACATTGTATTTCCAGTGCCTGGGATGTAGTTGCTTTTTTCTGAATACCAGTGAACAAAATTAATTCTTTCTGAGATAGGTTTTGAATCTTGATTTACCTTCAGTGTTTTAGCTCAAGCCTTGATTATTTCTGGCCATCATTACTATAGTCATTCCCTCTTGGTAATTTCCTTTATTCCCTTATCACTTCTGCTGATGCATTTTTTCCTGTATTTTCCCTACAACTGTCATGTGTCTCCTGTGCTGCTTGTAAGACTTCTTTCAGATTAAGGTTGAATGAATTAATTTGCCAATTAAGGTCTTTCAAAATATTCCCCCAACCTATTACTATTTATGTTCTGAATATATTTTTTTTCTAATGCCTTTGGTTTATGTAATTTCCTTTTCTAAGAATACCCTGTAATTTCTTCTTAATATTATTCCCTCTGTAAGATTTTCATTTTCCCTCCATCAAATTTATTACTAATTTTCCCTTCTGGGACCACAAAATGATTGTGAGTGGGCTGAAGAATCAGAGTTGAAGCCTACAAAGACTTAAGGACAAAGACTTAAGATTTACTTACTTATTTTTGCATACAAGAACTATGGTGTAGGCCAGAGGTACAAGAAGTGAGCAGATTTACCAGAGAGAAGTAGGGAGCAGAACAGGCAGACAGACTGAAATACACTGCTGAGGGGAGCAGCAGGCGAGACAGAAGAGGTCTGCTGCACCATGTGGGTCAGCTCCCTGGTGGAGCTATTGAACTCTGGCCACAGTGGCTGGTGACAGCTTAATAGTACTGAGACTTGAGCCCCAATGCCACCAGGGATGTCTAAAGGTATTCCTTGTCTCAATTTCCTTATCCAAAAAACTAAATAGTACATATTATGTAGGGCTATTATGATTAAATGAGTTAACACATATGATAGTACATAGCACTGAATAACTTAGCTATATTACTCTAATATCTGTAATTAGCTGGGTACTACTGTTTATCTACTTCGTAAGTTCCTGTGGAACATCATTTTATTTCTTTAAAGATCTGACCTTGTGGTACTTCACAGTACTGACCTTTTAATTTTAATATCTTTTCTGTGGAAAAGACTATTCCAAGCTCCTGCCTCTAGTTGTCTATATTCACTACAATTTCAAGTGCCATTGCTACGCTGTATTCCAAACTCCATTCAGCATATACATAGTCTTTTATGACTTGGGTCTCTAACCTCTGCTCTCAAATTTTCATTAACTCCTGCTTTACACTAAATCTGTTTCCTTTAGGTTTTTGTAACAATGTGCCACTATACTAGACTAAAAGTTTTTTTTACATGCAATCCTATTTTATTTAACAATCTATCTTCATATCTTCAACATTTGTATCACATGGTTGGTATAGAAGTTATTCATTAGTATATTAAAAAAAAAAAAAAAAGCTATGCTTTCTACACCTGAAATGGCCAGTTCTACTATCTACAAATAACCAGAGAATATTCAATGCTTAAGGCACAGCTTAAGTATGATTTTACTTCATAAAACTTTTCTCAACATCTTAATGAATAAAGCCAGCTATTCCGTATTGTTTTTCCTAATTGCATCTTCTAAAGTCTATCAGAGCTATGCCATTTTACTGAATTTATAGATTAAAATAACCTCATTGAGAGTTTATATCATTAATGAAATCATTACTTGTCTGTAGCAATAAATTTTGTTCATTAAATCTTGTTATGTTAGAGCAGTACTTAGCTATCATTCTATATAACATATTTACTATGTTAGGTTACTATATTTTAAGAATGGCAGTAAATTTGCATTTAACATACTCCCCCAATCACTATGAAAAACAAGCAATTGCCTCCATGCAAAGTAAGATGACTTTTATGGATACCAATCTAGGCATATTTTGACTTCATTAATTCCATCCTTTAAAAAATACAGTTGTAAACAGACACAAAGCAATACTTGTTTACTATAAACATTTCCACATATTTATGGATCAACTTCTTACACTTAGTACTATAACTTGAATCTGAAGTTTATTATAGTTCTATCACTATTCTGATAGAAAGGTCTAGAGAGAGGATGTAAACAAATTCTGCTAGCTTAAAGTCTTAGTAGTAACTGGCATGCACAAGGTGACTATTAAAGGAAAAGGAAAATTTTGTAAATGTTTCCATTAACTCAGTGCACTAAATTCCTTAAACCATATCAAGACTCAAAGGAAAATGACTGAAATAAACTCATAACATACTGATTAGTAATGCCATTGATCATTAAAGATACGGAAGGAGAGTAAAGGAAAAATGGCATTTTTACTAATGCAAAATTAACAATACCTCGACCCCCATTAAATATACAGATGCCACCATCTCTTCCATCATGGATTTTATTTCTTCTTAGTGTAGGATTACTGTCTGTCTTAATCCACACTCCAGCCATTGCATTGTCAAATATTTCATTGTCTTCTATACAGCCTAGACCTATAAATGCAAAATTTAGGTTGTGTTAATATTAAGTGTATTTCTAAAGATTACTAGCACTGAAGAAAAAAATGAAAGCTTATAAACATACCAGAATTATAAACTAGGATTCCACCATTCTGTCCTCCCCAGATTTTGTTGCGTCTAATTTTGGGGTTACTTCCAGTCCTAAGGACAGAAAGAGAAAAACATGCCATTTCAATTGCTTTTATTGCCATATTTTCTAGTCACCTTATCTAACATAGGACATCCATGTTAGATATAGTAACTGAGAAAATCCACATTAATCATAGTGAGAATTATATAATGGTGTCCCTTATGATACTCTGAGAAATCTGTCAGTAAAGAAACTGGTTTAATCTGCTTTATTCAATCTCCCACAGAACACATTTAGCTATAGGTTATTACTATAGAGTCTACTATACTGTAAACGGGGTTAGATTAAATAACTATTCTTATATACAACCCTCATATGTAAAGTGAAGGGTAAGAGTCTCTTATGACTTGGATTGCTACAGTTCCAAAATCTATCAAAATATAGGGAAAAGGGGTATAAAAACTTAAAATTTCACATAAATATAAAAATAGAAGCTTCCAGGCCTTCCTGGTGGCACAATGGGTTAAAGCGCAGCACTATGAAGCTATCGAAGCCACTGCAGCATGAGTTCAATCCCTGGCCAGGGAGGTGACCCACATGGCACAAAAGACCTCTCCTGACCCACCCACTGCTCCCCTCAGTAATATATTTCCTCTATCCGCCTGTTCTGCTCCCCACTGTCTCTGATTAATCTTCTCAAGCCCTGCACCTCTGGCCTGTAACCCAGTTTTATATGTATGGTTCAAAGAAAGTTGTCTTCTGATAATAAAAGCTATGAGTCTGAAAGACTATGAAAACATACACACACACACACACACACTCACGCTTTCTTTCTCTCTTCAATAAAGTAAATAACAAGGAATATCTCCACATACTCTACATACTCCCACCTCCCTCAAAATAAAACTAAATGTGGAAATATTTACCTTATCTGAACCCCAGAATACATATGATTATAGATATCATTATCCTCTAGCACTCCATGTCCATTGTCATAAAAATAAACACCAACCTAAAATTAAAAAAAAAAAAAATTTTTTTTTCAAGTGGCAACAAAGTATTTACAAAAAAACATCCATCCCAACAAGTATCAAAGGTCATCTTACCTGCTTGCCACTGTGTATCCTGTTTCTTCTTAGTACTGGAGTGCTGCCGGTTGTCACCCAGACCCCAGCCAGAGTATTACTATAAACTTCATTTTCTTCTATTACTCCTTGTCCTTTCTCATGCTAAATGAAAATTACATTTATTATAATATATATGTTGTATAAGCAAGCAATTTATGGTTTGCTCCTTCCTTTAAAGACAGTGATGACCAAAATAAAATCTCAATAGTCAAAAAAAAAGTGGATAAGAAGAAAATGATAACAATCTTTTTTGGTAGTTTTTACTTAAGTTTTCTTCTATCTGGTTTTAATTAAAGTCTCAAATGTTTATACTGCCCCTTATGTGGTTTTGTTACTTTAAAATCTACTAAAGCAAGAATAGTAGCATTCAATTTTTTGTTACGAAAGAACTTACTTCATTCTAAAATATATTACAAACTGACGAGCCCTCATTTAATAAGTTACTTCACGCTTACTACTGGTAAAAATATTTTAAAACAGAAGGTCTTAGGTTACTTAAATTTTTATTTTTAGAAGATTTAAGACATAACATTTCTAGCATTGTAAATAAAACTTAGAAGTCACACCTGGAATAACACAAGTATGAAATTTCCCACATTATAGTAGATACAGATTTTAAAATTGTAGAAAATGCTGAATTATGTTTCAACACAAATGCAGGTGAAAAATTGACCTTTCCAGAACATGAAAATATTCAAGTTTAGTATTATTAGTAGTACTTTCAGTGATACTATGATTTTGCTTAATACTTTGGAAAATTTCAGAAGATCATATAGCAGTCCCATTGGCAAAATTCCAGTGCAACAAACATGACTGAGACTAAAAAATCAATTATGAGTTCAGTCCACATTTACAATTATAAGGATTTTAAGAACAAGGGATGTCTTCTATACCTAAAAATAGTCAGCTGCTGAATAAATTTTATAGATTACATAACACTTTAAAATCAAAAGTCATTTGTATTCTCATAGGGGAATTTTTGATTATTATTTAAATATTAAAAGAAAGTTATAAATTACATTTTGTGGGGACGGAGTGGGGAATGGGATCAAAAATGGGGGTGGGGAGGGAAGTGCACAGAACTATGATGATGGCACATGGGGGTGACTTAGTGATGGGAAACCCACAGGGATTACAATTGAGATGAAAAAAAAAATGTACAAAATGTTATAAAAGTAAACTATTATATTAAAAAAAAGAAAGCAAAATTGGGAACAACTTAAAACAGTAATTGTATGAAATTATGTTCATAATTTGCTGAGTGAAAAATAAGTTACAAAATACATAACATATAAAAATGAATGATGTGTAATCAAGGTTATGTGTATGCATATGCTTAATAAAGTAAAAAAATTGCAAAACTAAAAAAAAAAAAAAGTCACAAATTTATACTCCAGAAGTTGAATATGGCCCACCTAAAGCGAAACATAAGACTGTCTCCTCCCACTTTCTCCCCTAATTTGATTAATGAGATTCTTGAACTATAGTCATTAACTTACCACATAAATCCCACCATGCTGGCCATCATGAATTTTGTTATGCCGAACAATTGGACAACTGTTTGTCCTAATCTGAATTCCTGCTAATGCGTTGCCTATTTGAAAATAAAGATTCAGTGTCAACATCTGGAGCCTAATTAAACATAGCTAAAAGTTATAGTTATGTACATTACATAACATCTAAAATTTTTACCAGAACTTTGGTAAAAGCACAATTTTTGAAATATGCCATAATCAGAAAGATACTTATGGTCCCTCAACACTGCAATATAAAATGAGGAGAATCAGGGTTGTAAAATGATGCAGAATGGTTATATGCAGTATAAGCAGAGACTCTTAAGGGTAGAATGTGACTATAGCCTAGCTGCCAAGCTTTAAACCCCAAAATTTCTCCGTGACACATTGGGAACTTAAGAAATTAGATCAGTTCTCCTAGTAGGATGGCATCAAATTGGTCCATTTTGCTAATGTTAGGAAAACAAGTTAAGCTCTAAATAATTTTACAGAAACAGTATGCTTACCATAAATATCATTTCCTTCAATAAGGCCTCTTCCATCACCAAAGATGTAAACTCCCCCTTGATTTCCATTAAATATAGAATTTCCCCTATAATCATATAAAATAGTAAAAAACAAGCATCTATACAGCAAAGCTTACTACTTGTTTTATTTAAGGCCATTCATGGTCATGTGACCTTGAAAAATTACATAACTTCTTTGGGCCTCAGTTTTCTACTCCATAAAAGGAGGAACAGACTACAAGAAATTTCTAAATTTCTTTCTAGTTATTTCTAAGACCCAAAGCTTTGAAAATGGTATCAAGTACTTGAGACAAAATACATTATTTATATATTTATTAAAATTTTAAAAGATTTTTTTTATTTGTCTATGCATACAGAACTGGGGTACAGGCCAGAGGTAGTAGGGGCTGTGGGAGAATTCACCAGAAAACAGAGTGGGGAGCAGAAAAGGCAGATCCATTAAGTATACTGCGGAGGGGAGCAGCGGGTGAGATGGGAGAGGTCTGGTGCTCCATGTGCATCACCTCCGGGGCGGGGATCAAACTCACTAAAGTGGCCATGGCTTGGCTTGGCTTAGCTTCCCACTGTAGTGCTCTAACCAGCTGAGCCACCAGGGAGGGCCTGACAAAATACATTCTTAAAAATTCCCTTTAAAATAACACATTTAGTGCTCTCCCTGGTGGAATGAGTTAAAGCACAGCACTATGAAGGTATCCGCAGCCACTGTAGCATGAGTTTAATCCCAGCCAGAAAGGTGACCTACATGGCGTGGCAGACCTCTCCTGATCTGCCTACTGCTCTCCTCAGCAGTGTATTTCAATAGACCCACCTGTTCTGCTCCTCACTCTGCTCTGGTAAATCAACTCACCCTCTATGCCTCTGACCTGTTTCTCAGTTCTTGTGTACATAATTAAATCTCAAACACACACACACACACACACACACACACACACACACACACATTTTTAAAATTTTGTTTTAAGCTTATCTAGGGAGATTGGCTATGTAACAAGATGAAAACTCTGTAATATATTTTTAGGGTCAGGAAAATAAAAATTATAAATAATCCAGTCTATGATTAAATTATAAGAGCTCTTTTCTATAATTAGCCAGCATCTATTTTTTAAAAAAGGTTTATTTTTATTTATTTATACATACAAGAACTGGGGTATAGGCCAGAGGTGCAGGAGAGCAGAATAGGCAGATCTACTGCAGTAACACTGCTGAGGAGAGCAAAGGGTGGGACAGGAGAGGTCTGCTACACCATATGGGTCAGCTACCTGATTGAGTATGAAACTTTGGCAATAGCTTGATAGCACTGAGACTTTTAATCCCTGCACCATAAAGGGAGGCCCTTTATGCAATAATATCTTCTAAGATAGTATCTGTTTGATTTTTTACGATAGCCAGAAGGAGTAGTCAGATCCATTTAAGACAACCGACATCTGAATTTCTACTTTGTTCTTCTTGGTCTTTCTCTAACAACTTGAGGTAATTAATTTCTGAGTTATTCTATCTGCTTCCTCTTAGAAAAACAACAACAAAAACCTACAGCTTAAGTCATTAATAAAAAATATAACAACCCAAAACAAATACCATAGCTATGTTCACTTACGTGCATGAACTTTTACTAGGAAAATCTATTTCATGTTGCTTTATAATGATGCACACCTATAATGCAATGTTAAGGCATTTGAAAAAATGATCCCAAATAAAAATAATTTATCATAGGGTAAACAAAAAACAAGTATATACTTACATCTTCAGCTAAAAGATACAATTCTTGTTAAAATTTTTTCTATAAACAGCTCAAGCTGTTTATAGGAAACATTCTCTATCAATAGACATATGTCTAGGAAAAACATCAAGAGTAAAAGTTAAGGACTTCTCTGGTGGCTTGGGTTTAAGTCTTGGTGCTATCACTGCTATAGTCTGAGTTCAATTCTGGCCAGGGAACTAACCCACATATGGCAAGCAGACTTCTCTTTCAAGCCACTGCTCCCCTCAGCAGTGTATTTGAGTAAATCTACTTGTTTTGCTCCTCACTCCTCCTCTTATGAATCCTCTCACTCCTCCCTACTCTGCACCTGTGGCCTAGACTTTAGTTCATCTACACAAAATAAAGATCATTAAAAAGTAGATAAAAAAAAAGATAAATAAGAAAAAGTTAAGCACCTTTTATTATAATACAAAACAAAGTGAAAAAATAATTTTCATCCATAAGTACATATAAATACCTTATTGTTGGGTCACTATTTGAGGTAATCCATACACCTGCAAAGTTGTTTGCATAGATTTTATTCTCAATGAACTGTCCTCTTCCTTTCTCATGGACATATATTCCTCCAGTTTGCCCATGATGGATTTCACATCGAACCACTGTGGGATTAGCATATGCTTTTACTTCAAAACCTGCTATCCTGTTTCTGTGTATGTTGCAACTTTCAAAGTAACCCTGAAAAATACAGAAGTTAAATCTGTAGGTAACAATACTGTGCAAAAATAAGTGACATTAAAAGATCTTCTTACTGTATACCTCAGAATCAAACATCGGAAATATTCAAAAGAAAGAATGAAACAGACATACTGAATTTCAAATAATAAACATGGAAGGAAACAGATTTAAAAGTTTTAGTAAAGAAGAAAACATTCTCTAGTTAATCTCAATACATTCCACATTAAAATAGATATATTCAGCAAATACAAATTCAGCAAATACAAATTAATACCATTATCTAGTAAGTATATACATATCCTTCAACAAAGAAATACTAAGTTTACAAGTACTAAGGAAAATTAACTTCTGCTTTAAAGAAGTACCAACAAATCAACTTCTTAGACCAAGAATAGGGAATAAAATTGTTTTTGAAGAATTATGCTAATTCTATCAGGCAATATGAGTATGTACTTCAAGATTACATGCTAAGCAGTCAATTTTATTTGATGAAAAACAATCTGAAGGATGAAGCAAAAAAAAATATTAAGGCTGTGATTATGAGTAGTGAAGTCTAAGGACACAGACACAGTAGTTTCTTTGTCTTATTACTCTCTGAATTTCTTAAATTTTCTATAATGAACATATTTTACTTATCTTATAAAAGTTATGTAACACTTCTAAGTTTTAAGATTTAATCAACACTGAACAGCAAAAGGAAAATGAAGATAATTTATAAGATGTAACTTTTTGAAGTCATTTCCAGTCCCTTGTCTATCTCTTTAAAAACTGAATGTGCTCAGTGAAATAATAATATCTGATGGATATATAGGAGTACTATAGGGAGGTACTGAGGATCATAGGAAAAATACAGGAAACAGAACAAAAAGCCAACAACAAAAAAGATAAAACTTGGCAGCAAACTATAGATCTGAAGAACACAGCAGGACAGGAAGGAGGAGGGGGGTCAAAACAGTAGGGAAGAGCACAAGGCACGATGGTAACAGTTCACAGGTCCTGTGGTAGTGGGAGATTTACAAGGACTACAGAGGAGGGGAAAAATAAAATATTGTACAAAAAACAATGTAAGAAAATTTTATAAAAAGTTTTTCTTTAATACTTGATATATATATACACATTTTTGTGTATGTGTGCACACACACAATTATGGCAAAACTTGAACATCAAAGAAAAAAATTAACACAAGTCTAGGTTAGAAGAACTTCATGTCAGACTGGAATATGATTCAATATTTCAGATATTTTCATCATTAAAAAGAACAGCGTCTTTCTCTGCCAAGCTTAAGTGACGATTGGTAAAGCTTAAGTGACGATTGGGAAAGCGTATGTATGTTCAATTCTGTTTTTCTTCGTAAAAGTGAGCAGTCCATACACAGGAAGCATGCTGTCTGCTAACTATTCCACAGAAGTGGGTAGGCCTATTTAATGCTAGAGTTCAGTTAAACAGACCCATTTCATTCTTATTTTGAACTCTGTCATCCAACTTAAATCTTTAAGAGTATTAAAGATGTTTCTGCTCCTCCATCTTGTATGCTATATCACAGCGTTATTTCTTAATTTGTTTAAAATGTGGCAGTGAAAGGCATGCTATTTATTGGGTTTCCATAAAGATACTAGTAACAGGTCACTGTTAAATCCTGGAAACACTAGTTAAATATATTACAAGTATTCTTTGCTACATTTTGACTACATGTTAATTTAAGTACATATATATGTACTTAAATGTCCCAATGTTCTTTCTTTACATTTTGATTTCACAGTTAAGAGTCAACTAGATCTACAGGTGTATTAAAGTAAACAGCAGTCTTCTATCCTCATTTTCCATTATCCAGAGGCTGCTACTTTTAACTACTTTAGCGGATTCTCTTGATTTACTTTTACTTTTTTTTTTTTTAAAAAGATTTATTTATTCATTCATACAGAACTGGGGTACAGGCCAGAGATGGAAGGGTGAGAGGATTCACCAGAGACAAAGCGAGGAGCAGAACAGGCAGTTCGACGAAGTACACTGCTAAGAGGAGCAGCGGGCGGGTCAGGAGAGGTCTGCCCCATGTGGATCTCCTTGGGGCAGGCGGGAATCTAACTCATGCTCATGCGGAAGTGGCTTAAGCTTCTCAGTGCTGTGCTTTCACCAGATGCACCACCAGGGAGGGCCTACTTTTACATTTTTAAGTAAAGGCTCCCGTTGCTATTACAGCGACAGTTTTAGGTATTATCTACTGGCTTCCTTTCATTTGAGATGAGAATTCATGTCTCTAATCATCCATTACATACACTGTGTCACTCATATCACAATTCTGGCTAGATCAGTTTGCTATTCAGAGCTGAGCCATAAGTATAACTACACATCCTTTGTTGTACATTTTGTTCCCTTATATTAGCAATTGCCTTGTTTAAATGTCTAGTGGTTACTCTGTAACTTCCTACCCATTTTTCAAATTACCTCTTGATAAATTTTACTCATGTTAGGTTTACCAAATTATCTTCCTGAAGATAAGCAGATTCTATAACCTGCTCTAATTTGAAGTGATTACCCAGATTATCATTTCATGGTCATCTGCCATATAGTAAATCAAAGATGGAGTTTTTAACCTGGGATAAATTTTGAGAAAATAAAGCAGCATAAAAATCTTTTCTTCCACCATGCTTTTACCAGAAGTTTATTATAAACGTGACTTCATCACACTCAGAAAGTAATAATTGATTTGACTTATAGCTTTGTAATTCTGTAAGGAAATCTACCTCTTTATTATGGGCAAAAAGGCTTCAGCTAATATAATTTTATTTTAAAATAAATTTTAATGGAAAGCATTTGTTTTGTTAAAATATGTCTTTTAGATCAAAATCGTTTCATAGTAGAAAACTTAGAATTTAGTAGAACTTACATGAATTCTACTTTGCCTTTCTACTAAATTCCAACTGACATGTAAAAATTCCAAGAGACATGAACATTTACTGGATAACTCCATATTACAAATGGCCTTTTTCTTTGACACAAGATGTTAGAGATTGTGAAAAGTCATTTCTATATTTTTAAAAAAGTTTGTTAGCTGCTCATCACAAATACTTCACATACTTCTAAATCTCTACATCAAATATATTACTGCAAATCTTGGAAATTATTTATCAACTTAAAAACACTGGTATACTAACAATGAAAGGTGAGACTAAACACATTTTCATTCTAATTTCTTGAAGTGAAATAGTCCTTTAATATATCAAATTACAAGGTATCTGAGTTCTCTTAAAACTGTTCCAAAAGAAACAAAAAATATTAAGGATAAAAATATGATGTCTCCATTGAAATAAATTCCACAGCCTCAGCTGTAATTGATAAAAAATTTGCTGAACCTTGTGACACCTGGATAAAGATGAAGAGAGTCTTTAAGAGAAAATAAATGTTAACCTTAAACTTTCAGCAAGACAGTGATTTCCCTCAGGTAACAGAGTCTAATTAGATATGTATAACCATAATGAGATCTAGTAGAATGAACACAATATATGAGAGGAGGGAAATATTCCCATGGTAATATTTTCATAGAAATAGTTCAGGTACATCTGAAAAAGAAAAGACACGTATAATTTTGGTCATCTAAAGCTTAAGATTCTAATTTATGGGACGTTTATACAAAATAAAGTGAGTAAAAGCTAAGAGAAAGGACAGCCAAAGATCAACTTAAGAATCTGCCATCTGTCATATGTGAAATACATAAATTTACGATAACTTAATTACCTTGAATTAAAAATATTTTAATCTCATAACAATTTGGAATTACTACATTTTATTTTTACAAAAATAAAACTCTTAATGGACTGAATATTAGACAAAGATAACTGGGGAGACAGAGCCATTGAAAATTCATTTTTTTAGGAGAATGGCACTGTGGTTATCGGGGGGAAAAAAGAATCCCCATCTTTTAAACATATATAATGAAATATTTACAAATGCGATGCTGCTGCCTCAGATTTGCTTCAAAATAATCAGAGTTAAGAGTAACAGAAAAACCAAAACTGGCCATGTATTGATATTTGCTGAAGATGGAAGATGGAAATTTACTAAAGTAGTCTTTTTGCTGTTATGTACAAGAAAGATATTCCATAAACAAAAATACATTAAAAAATTAAAGCTACAGCTATAAGAAAGATGAAATCCTGCCACCTGCAACAATACAGATGGATCTAGAAGATATGCTGGGTGAAAGAAAAATACCATGATTTTATTCATACATGGTAAAGAAACAAATGGATGAACAAACAAAGCAAAAATAAACTCACCCACTATAAAAACAAAATAGTGGTTACCAAAAGGAAAGAGGTGGGGATGGGGTTCAATAAACTGGGGAGAAAGGGCCAAATATATGGTTATTGATGAAAACTGGTGGTAAGCAAATGTGCTATACACAGATGTTGACTTAAACGATTGTACAATACAATGTTATGAACCAATGTTATTTCAATTAGGTTAAAAAAATGGAAATTAAAAGCTATACTAGAAACAAAAAAGAGAAGGTATAAAGACATAGTAAAGGATACAGACTTGGGGAAATCAAATAAAACTTAAAAACACAGTAATACGAAGAGTCGATAGTCAAGTTTTTAAAGAGAGGAACAACAGTACAGATACTTAAGTAGAAAAGCAAATCACCACCAGAAAAAAAACCCAGAATGATCTCAATTTTCTAAGTCATACTCAGTGCTTCAAATATAAAAATGACTATAGAATTTATGGAAAGAAAATACATAATAAAAATAAAAATATATTTTATAAAAGTAGAAATTGTATGCCAGGTCAAGTTAAAAGGTGTAATGCAGGCTTCCTCAAATGACATGAATTCAAACTACTAAACCCTTAAACCCTTCTTTTAAAAACAAACAAAATATGGCTAGATGACAAAACACAGTCATACCAAGAATCTATCAAAATATTAAAAACTGGGGAGCGGACACACAGTAATAAAAATGTCATCACAAGGCACAGGGGTGATTTGGTGATGGGAAGCCCACGGGGATTACAACTGAGATGGAAAAAGTCACAAAATAATGTAAAAATAAGCTATTATATTAAAAAAGTCATCACAATACATGTAAATCAAATCATCATGCCTGAAACTTATATACAATGATATATGTCAATTTTCAATAAACTGGAAAAAATGACAAAAGGTAAATAAAAATAGACCAATTATATTGGGAATGCAAATGTTATATACTTTATAAAAAGAAAAATAAGACTATAAATGATGGGATAGAGAGAGGCTGAAATACAAAGTATGCTTATGCACTAATTTTTCATGGGGGTATTCATTCTTTATTCTAAAGTTTAAACATACAGTTAATAACAAACTCTAGACTCATACCCTTACAAACCCAGGTGTTATCCTAGGGATGTAGTATCTTTACTAAAACATCAATTCCTTTAAAATAAAACTGTAATCTTTTGATTCATTTTTTTTACAAAAGTGGTAATTTAAATCCTGTATGTCACAGACAGGGCAAAACATGAATACATTTAAAGACAACAGAGGGCACTACTGAAAGTAGTTTAAATGTTTATTCTGATGTCACTGAAATGGTATAGCAACAAAGTCACTTTTTTTTTTTTTAAGATTTACTTATGTATACAAAAACTAGGATAGAGGCCAAAGGTGCAGGGGGTGACAGGAGTCACCAGAGACAGAACCGGGAGCAGAACATGTATTAAATACACTGCTGAGGGAAACAGCAGGTGGGTCAGGAGAGGTCTACCATGCCATGTGGGTCACCACCTTGGCTGGAGGTTGAACTTGTGCTGCTGTGGCTGAGAAAGCTTCCAAGTTCAATGGTTTAACCTGTTGCACCACCAGGGAGGGCCCCCAAAGTCACATTTTAAAAAGTTTCTCCACAGTAGAAAAAGGAACTCTCCTGCACTGCTGGTAGGAATGCAAACTAGTACAACCACTATGGAAAACTGTTTGGAGGTTCCTCAAACTGCTAAACATGGAGCTTCCCTATGACCCAGCAATCCCACAATTGGAAAAACATGGAAGCAGCTCAAATACCCAAAAGTAGATGACTAGATTAAAAAGATGTGGTACATATATACAATGGAATATTACTCCACAACCAAAAAAGAGAAACACATGTCTTTTGCAGCAACTTGGATGGAGCTGGAAAAGATCATGCTTAGTGAGATAAGCCAGAAAGAGAAAGAAAAATACCGGATGGTTTCACTCATAGCAGGAGTATAGTGGACCAGGCGAGAAAATAACAAAAATAATGAACAACCACATACCAGAGACATTTTGCGGGGGTGGAGTGGGGAATGGGATCAAAAATGGGGGGGGGGTTTGGGAGGGAAGTGCACGGGATTATGGTGATGGCACACGGGTGACTTGGTGATGGGAAACCTGCAGTGATTACAATTGAGATGGGGGAAAAAATGTACAAAATGATGTAAAAATAAACTGTTGTAAAATAATAAAAAAATAAAGAGAAAAAAAAAGTTTCTCCACAGTGATGTCATCCTACCAATGAGCTACAAAGATACCAAAGAATACTTGGAATTGAACACTCCACCAAAGAATTTTAAAATGTGTCATTAATACTAAAACTGATGAGAGGGCCAAGATATGCTCTGTTTTTATCCTTTCCTTACAAATCTGTAATTGCTAAACAAATCTTTTCATTAATCGTTAATGGGAATATGTATCTATAATATTGCCTACAGTTGCTTTAAAAAAGCACTTTTGGGTATCCCTGGTGGCCTAGGAGTTAAGTCTCAGCTCTATTTCCATTAGGGACTAGTTTCCATCCCCAGCCAGCTGGAGCTAATCAACCTATCCTATGGTACAACAGACCTTTCCTGTCTCACCTGTTGCTCCCCTTAGCAGTATCTTCCAGTCAATCTACCTGTTCTGATCCCCACTCTGTTTGTGGTGAACCCTCTTACTCTCTGCACCAATGACCGACACCCCAGTTCTTCTACACACACACACATACACACATATACACAGTTTTATTTTCTATAGATATGAGGCATATCACATGGGGCAGGGAAGAAGGGTCAAAATAGGGGAGGCAGGAAAAAGCACAATGGTCTATGGTGATGGCTCATGGGTGATGTGATGGTGGGAGATTTACAGTGACTACACTGTAAATGTAGGAAAATGAGAGAAATCAAATACTGTACAACAATGAGCAATGTAAGAAAATAAAAAAATTAATTAAAAATAAAGTTTACTTTCTTACTGTATCAAAATTTATAAATCCAAGTCAATAAAAAATAAACTATCAGGGGTATGAGATAAGGAGTAAATTATGATGTTGAATGTTAGTAAATGACCATTACCATATGTCTTTTCGAAATGAGGAAATTAATGCAGGTTAAAATTATTTTGATACTTTGAATTAATTGTGAAAGAGACCAGAGGTATTCATAAATATACTTGAATTACATATAACTGTGGGCAAACACTAAAGGCAACATAAGACAAACAAATACTAGCATAGTAAAATTCCATTACAGGTATTTATTCTGTTTACAAACTATAGTCACACAGGCCTCTAAAGGGGCTCAGATTCAAGATGCTTGTGTCTTGGCATCCTTCAAAACTTTTCCCAGACCCCCGCAATTTTCACATTTTTCCACACCCTACTCCTGGGGAATAAAGGAACTTTGCAATGAAATTTCAATTTCTTTATTGCATGTTTAGAGAAAAGGGCAAGCGATCATCTCCACTCTGCTTTTTAATTAACAGGGTCAAGTGATGGCTTGAGTTGTGAGTGAAGATGATAAACTGGACTTTGGTCTGAAAGTATCTAGATTTAATCAGAACTTGATAGAAGGGTACTCCTGAAGTTCAATTTTAAGAGTTCTGCATTAAGATTTTAGGTACAATGAAAGTGAAAACTTTGTTAACTAACAATTTGTAGATGTCAAGCTAATGTTCCTAAGTTGCTGGACACCATGTGTAATAATAACAAAGCTTCATTTTAACCCTCTTTTCAATCATAACATACATCACTCTTCCATCTGAGTCAATAAAAAATGCTGTGAATACTGTACTAGAATTTGAAAATTATCTCAATGTAAACTAGACATTAGAAGAAAAGGTTATTTGCATAGACATACAAGAACTATTTTTTCCTTCACATTTTAAAAGGACAGGTTTATTAGGAAAAGAGAATACTACTCTTATATAGTCACAAGCAGGCAGAAAGAGCAGCTGCTGCTGCTTTGCAAATGGAAAAGGTTTGTGAAAAGAAACCTGCACAGTCACAGGTGGACAGAGAGCTCCAAGAACACTACTTTGAAATAAGGAACTACAAGTGTTCAAAAAGTGAATTCTAGAAACTTTTGTAAAATTACTAAAGCTTAAAAAATCAGAATCATTCATAATGATGACCACCTACTAAGTAACTATTTTTGGGCCAATATTTTATTATCACAATTCTCATTAAAGTTTGGCCTATTAAAAATTTTTAACAGAATGAAATAAAAGGCAAACTAATAATGAAACCACTACTTCTCAAAGTGTATAGTCTATAAACTTGTGTGAAACTCACTAATAGTATTTTTATGTTAGGCCACATTCTTTGAAAAGTGGTTGATTTTATCTGTGTGATTTTTAAGCATCTTTACAAGATCACACGAATTCCTTTAAGGATCCATCTTCTCTGCATGTATGTACCATGGGATAAATGAATTTGTACAATATTGCTTTTTGATTAGAAAATGTAATGTTAAAAATCTATTAACCTTTATTTAATTCTTATAGTTTCGGGATTGGACAATAATGCTGAAATCTATTTGAAATTTAATTGACATGAAATCCTTGTTTTTATTAAATACAATCTTACCATGCCATGATCAAATGTGAACACACCAACATCACGACCATGATGAATATGATTCCGTCTAATAATTGGATTTCCATGATTTTTAACCCAAATCCCAGCCAGAGCATTATTGGAAATTTCATTATCTTCGTATATTCCCTAGAACAACAAATAATCAGAAATAAACATTAGAAGAGCTTTAAAAAAAATGCAGAAAGACAAAAAACTATGAATATATACCTGTGCATGATCTGTTATATAGAGTCCAACATTTTCACAGTCGCTGATGTTACAGTGCTTGATAGTGGGACATGCTCCCTGACCACTAACACATACTGCAGAGCCAACTGTAAGACAAATAATTTACTTAAAAATCTTTTGGGTAAAAACATTGACTCATTATATATAAAGCATAAAGGAAATACTAACCTGTACATGTACTTCGGATGATACAATGATCTATAATGGGGCTACAATTTACTGTAATCTCTAAGCAGTGGTGTGCGTTGTGGTGTTGAGCAGATTTGTCATCAGGGTTAAACTGAAAAGGTTGAAATTTTGTTTAAATAAACAATCATTGCCTTAACAGAACACAGACATTTTAGTATTTTTATTGTGCTTGAATTACTGCATTAAAATTTTTAAATGTATTTTTTAATTGCAGTAACCATAACACTGGCTTATAATAAATCTTTGAATTTTTTGGTATAGGTTCACAGTTCTTCAGCTTTATCAATGATCTACCCCACACTCCCAAAGTAGTTAACAATTTTCCCCACAGTCCTTTGGGCCCCCTTCTACGTCCCCTTGTAGCCTCAATTCTACAGTCAAAATTCCTAGGGTTTGTTTTGCTTTGGTTTGGTTTGGTTTTGTCAGTCCCTTTGTTCTCTTTATCCATATTCCATGAGTGATCATCTTTTACGTTTTAAATCTTAACACTTCTTACCCTTATTGTCATATATCCAACATAAGCATCTTCAGAACCTTCCATGAAAACGAAGGTTGAATCTCTAGTGTTTTCAATTATAACTTTGTCTGCTACTTTTCCAGGTGCTGTGGAAAAGATATTTTAAAGCATATTAACTTTGTCAAATAGACAAATGGAAAAATATCCTGCCAAAAAATACCTAGTAATACAATAGAATCCTTTTTTATTGTTTTTAAGTGGGGTACTGTTTTCTAGAGCTATATCTTTTAAAAAATTGGTATTGGGTAGAGAAGATTAATTATTCAAAAACCTGCTTCAACTGGCCTCTTACAGAAAGTCTATTATTTGAATATCATTACAGTCAAATCTATGTATAATATCTCTAATAAAACTCATTTAGAAATAACATCTAATATCAAATGCAATGGTATATTAAAATATTTGTGAAAACAAAATCACAAACAGCAACGCCAGAAAAAGGCCCAAGAGAAAGAAAGAAAAGGGAGGATGAATATGGAGAGAGAAACCTCTTTATTTAGAAACATACACCCTCCCCAATTTTTTCTTTAGTGGTAGAAAAAGGGAAGAGAAGTAGAAGGGGCAGTAAATGCTAATTACTTGTTAAACAAGTAGTAATTATAAGCTATTTTTAAATAATCTATGTGCTGAATACTAATAAAAGATAGCATACATCTTCAAAAGAGTGATCCATGCTCATAAATTACATTAATTTTAGAAATTTGACCACAAAGAACCTTTAAAACAGTACAAAGAATATTCTAAAAGTAAATATTTCAATAAAAATCCAGCAATGAAAAATTAGCATCTTTATTTTCAAAACAGGATAAAATTGGGCTTCCCTGATGGCACAGGGGGTTAAGTCACAGCACTATGAAGCTATGTGCAGCCACTGTAACACTAGTTGGATCCCCAGCCAGAGAACTACTCACAGCAGACCTCTCCTGTCTCACCAGCTGCTCTCCTCAGCAGTGTATTTCAGTAAACCTTGCCTGTTCTGTTTCCCACTGTTGCTGGTGAATCCTCTCACCCTTCCCCAGCACGTCTGGCTTATAACCTTTTGTATGTATAAATAAATAAGTCTTAAAAAATAGATACACCTATATTTCTGAACTCTCAGGTTGATTTATTTATTTATGAAGAATTATTTTAAACCGGGGTGAGGGCAAAGGTGTGGGGATGAGAGGATTCACCAGAGATAGAATGGGGAGCAGAACAGCAGATCTACTGAAATACACTGCTGAGTGGAGCAGTGGGTGAGACAGGAGAGGTCTGATGTGCCATGTGGGTTAACTCTCTGGCTGGGATTTAACTCAGGTTGCAGTGGCTGATGATAGCTTACTAGTGCTGAGACTTTTAACTCCTGCCACTTGGAAGGCCCCCTACAGTGCTGAGACTTTAACTGCTGCACCACCATGCAGGATTCAGGTTTACTTTCATTTGATTTGTATTCTTTCTTTCCATTAAGATACTGTTAAGGTTCATTTGGATTTTTAGTCACTAACATTTAAAAAATCCATCATATACAAAAAATGAGCAAGATATTAAAATTCTAATGACAATGCTTTTCAAAATACCTGCACCAATCATGGTGATTGGAGATTCAATATAAATCCATTCATCAGTATATATTCCAGAATGAACAAAGATAAGTCCATCAAAATGAGCTTCTTGTACCCCACCAAGGGCATCTTCAATTGTATCATAATACTAGAAAAGAAAATTAAAATTTCAGTACACAATTAAAAGATTAAAAGTTTAAGTCTGAAAAGGTATATAATCAAACATACCAACATATTTTCTCTTCCTTTATATCTTGCAGGGTTACTGTAGAAGTGTTCAGCAAATCCTGGCTTTACATGTGCACCTTTATACTAAAATGTAAAAATAAAACAAAAACAAAAACAAAAACACAACAAATATTGACCATTAATATAAACATTACATTTTAACTTATGAATAATTTTATTATTTAATTAAAAAGTATAAGTAAAAATTGTCAGTTACTTCAATTAATTTCTGTTACACAATGCAACACAAAAATCTTGAATAATTTTTGACTCTAATACACAGTGAGAACAAAGTTTAGCAATCTCAGCACTGTTTATATTTTGATACATATAATTCTTTGTTATGGGGGCTGTTCTGTGTATTGTAGAATATTTAGAAACATTCCTGGCCCCTACTCATCAGACACCAGTAGCATCCTCTCCCCATCAGTTAGGACAAATTTCCAACCATCAAAGAAAAATGTTTGTGAATATTGCCAAATGTCCCCTGTGGAGTGAAATCACCCGTAGTTCAGAACCATTTGTAAAGGACCATATGTAAATTCTGCTAAATGTGACCTTTAAAATAACCACTGAACATCTGCACTAGTAACTTGAAAAGTACATTTCCACACAGCTCTGCAGCTACTGTTTTTTTTTTCTTTAAGATTTTCTTATTTATGCATACAAGAACTGGGGTAAAGGCCAGAGGTATGTGCGTGTATGGGGGGAAGGGTGGTGAGACATTTCACCACAGACGGAATAAGGAGCAGAACAGGCAGATCTACTGAAATACACTGCTGAGGAGTGCAGCTGGCATGTCAGAAGAGGTCTGTCACACTATGTGGGTCACCTCCTGGTGAGGGATCGAACTCATGTTGCAGTAGCTGCGGATAGCTTCATAGTGCTGGGCTTTAACCCACTGCTCTGTTAGAGAGGCTACTGCTTCTTACTGATACTTTTAAATTTAAATTATTAATAAATAAATCAGTAGTGAAAAGAATTACTGAATACTGTATGGTTTATATATTATCCACTGGTTTACTTTTACAACCTTTTCTTAATTTTTTAAAAAGTGTTATTTATTTATGCATACAAGAACTGAGGTCTAGGCCACAGCGGGGAGGGGTAAGAAGATTCACTAGAGACAAAATGGGGAGCTAAACAGAGGACTCTACTGAGATACACTGCTGAGGGGAGCACTCGGGGAGACAGGAGAGATATGCTGTGTTATGAGGGTAAGCTCCCTGGCCAGGTATTAAACACATGCTGCAGTGGCTGATGATGTCTTGAAGGTGTTGAGACTTTAACCGCTGCACCACCAGGGAGGCGTACTTTTACAATCTATTCTTGAATTTAAATTAATTTTCTATAGGGACTTTATTTATAAAATATATTACTAAACCAATATTTTCTATTTATACTTCATACCAATTGCTGGAAGCTCTCTTTCCAAGGATTAGGATGTTCATATTCTTCTGGATTAATCTGATAGAATTTGCCAGGTTCAGGATGCATCATAGGACGAGTATATTCAAATACTTCCATATATAATCTTTTCCTGAACAAGAAAAGGAATTAAAAGATTTCATAAAATGCTCTTTAAAGAACTATAATACTTAAAGTCTGAAACTTTTATTAAAGACATCAAAGCCAGAATTTTAAGTGTATTTTTTAGCTAAAACAATTTAACTATAAATGCAAAGCCACTTTTACTGTAAAAGCCTTAAATAATTATGTAAAAGGATGATTTTCAGTAAAATACTTTCTAATTTTGTTCTTGACTTTCTTTTCTATTTCTAAAACAAACAGAACTTTAAGGAGTATCTTGTTTTAGCACCAGTTAACACACATAGCTTTTGTAAAATATAAAAAAGCATAAAAAATGAGTTAATAGTCAATATTGCCAATATACTGTCAATATAGTCATTAATAGTTGATTATATTTCCCTTCCAATCTTTTATCAACAATTTTGTTTATTATAGTTGTGAATGTTTAGTTTTTTTTTTTTTTAAAGATTTATTTATTTGTACATACAGAAATGGGGCACAGCCAAAGGTGCAGGGGCGGTGAGAGGACTCACAAAGAAGAGAGTGGTGAGCACAACAGGCAGATCAACTAAGTACACTGCTGAAGGGAGAAGTGGGCAAGACAGGAAAGGTCCCCCCGCCATGTGGATCACCTCTGGGGCAGGGATAGAACCACACTGAAGTGGCCACAGCTTGACTTGGATTCATAGTGCAGCATTCCAACACGCTGTGCCACCAAGGAGGGCCCATGTGTGTTAGTTTATATTCTGTTCTTCTTTTTTTTTTTTTAAGATTTATTTATTTATGCATACAGACCAGAGGTGCAGGGTGGTGGTGGTGGGGGTGGTGAGAGGATTCACCAGATACATAGTGGAGAGCAGAACAGGCCGACTGATGAAATACACTGCTGAGGAGAGCAGTGGGAGGGTCAGGAGAGGCTGCCATGCCATGTGGATCACCTCCAGGGCAGGGATCCAACTCGTGCTGAGGTGGCTTTAGCTTAATGTTGTGCTTTAACCTGCTGTGCCACCTGGGAGGGCCCTCTGTTCCTCTTTTTTTGTGTGTGTGTGCATACAGAACCGGGGTACAGGCCAGAGGTGCAAGGGCGGCGAGAGGATTCACCAGAGACAGAGTGGGGAGCAGAACAGGCAGATCGACTAAGTAGACTGCTGAGGGGAGCAGCGGGCAGGTGAGGAGAGGTCTGCCACGCCATGTGGTCACCTCTGGGGCAGGCGGGGATCGAACTCATGCGGAAGTGGCTTTCGATTCTTAGTGAGGCGCTTTAATCTGCTGCGCCGCCGGGGAGGGCCTTTTTTTTTTTTTTTTTTAAAGATTTATTTTTATTAATATATGGAAACAAGAACTGGTGTATAGGCCAGAGGTGCGGAGGGTGAGAGGATACACCAGAGACAGAGTTGATCTACCAAACAGGCAGATCTACTGAAATACACTGCTGGGGAGAGCAGTGGGCGAGACAGGAGAGGTCTGCTGCACTCTGTGGGTCAGCTGCCTGAGAGGGGTTCAACTCATGCTGCAGTGGCTGCTGATAGCTTCTTAGTGCTGAGACTTAACCCCCTGCACAATGAGGGAGGACCATATTCTGCTCTTTTTATGTTTTATAAATAACATGGCATTTCCCCATGTTCTGAAAAATTCTGGAAAAAAAAAAGTAAGATATAAGAATACAATGTCAAATAATTTTCTAAAAGTAATGTAACAATTTAAAAATGTTCTTTTATTTATGCATACAGAGTTGGGGTACAGGCCAGAGGTGCAGGGGTGGTAAGAGGATTCACCAGAGACAGATTAGGAAGCAGAACAGGCAGATCAACAAAGTACATTGCTGAGGGGAGCAGTGGGTGGCTCAGGAGAGGTCTGCCACACCATGTGGGTCACTTCCAGGGAGCAAACTCTCACTGACGCGGCTGCGGCTTGCTTGCAGTGTGGTGTCCTAACTTCCTGTGCCACTAGAGAGGGCCCTGATGTAACAAAATTTATATCCTGACTAAGCTATCAATTTTTAATTGGCTGTTTTAAATTAGACATAATTTTGTTTCTAAGAAAAAAAGGCAATGGGAAGAATTTCCCATAATTACTCAGTTGTTATAGTTATTATTACCTGACAAACAGCAGAAAAAGTACTACATTTATTGTTTTAAAAATATTGCCTGGACTGACAACCTTTGTGTGATGAGGAAGATAACTTGGGATTTATAAGCATTCTAATTTTGTTCCAACTATTTAACTAATCATTTTTAGCATTTTTGAGCAGCAAATAGTAAATCTCAAAATAATAAGGATTAAATTTTCACTTACCACAAAATTGGATCATTAGCAAGCTCACTGAAACGCTTGCACACACAAGCTGCTCTACAAAGATCCTGTTCCAGTAAGTAAGAGAAGATTTTTAGAACTACTTCATCTGGCAGTTTCTCCTGAAGGTATTGCTCAGCAGGTGCTGCTATAAAGAGATTAACAATCAGAATTTAAATAACCTATTATGTTAGCAATGATTTTCTTAATATTTAAAGAGCATAATCTACATTTAACTAATAAGTAGGTTTTTGAGGGATGACAATCATTTTATAAGTATTTTACTTTCACATACAACATTTATCTCCTTTTATCCTGACTTAGTATAGTTTCTTTTGTACTACTTCAGAAACTGATCAAAGTTAATAAGATTAAAATAAAAAGTATTCCCTGTAATAATTATATTTCAAGCTGTCTGGGCTCTCATGTTTATTATATATTGTTTTCTTTCCCATCTTTATTCTATAATAATTACTTTCTTAACATTAAATGGAACATTAAACTATTAATTTTAATTTTTCAGTATTAAACATGATACAAAAAATTATCTAACCCTATCCCTCAGTTTTCTCATTGGAAATAACCTGATAGATCTTGTGATTTTCCAGATACTCTTGCACGTTTTGCACGATGACCAAAATTTTCTGTAGTTGAAGTTGAGGCACCCTAGAAAAGCAAAATTAAAGCTAATTAGGCAAATATTTCTATCACACCTAATCATTATTTATAAAATGACATTACTTTCTTGCTTCATTGTAATTCTTTCATTACAAAAAAAGAAAAACAACCCCATTTTTACTTACCTCCATACTGTTTTTTGCAGGACACGCTGTTCTTTTTGGCAGAAGAGTTTTTCTACGAAGTTGGTATGGACTATTTTGTGCACCAGGACCTGATTCTTCTGCAACCATATCTGCAGGTACATCATCATCTATTACAAAAAAAAAAAAAAAGATATAGATGTATGAAAAATAAAACTTATTCTTAAAAAAAATTCTGTGGATACAGTTTAAACATATTTTTAAAACTTCATATATTCCAGAATTGGTAGGTTAAGATACAACTTTTATATAACCAAGAAAGAAGTATCAGTTAAATTCTTTTTTAAAAAAATATTTATTTATGCATACAAGAACTGGGGTACAGGTCAGAGGTTCAGGATATGAGAAGGTTCACCAAAGACAGAGTGGGGAGAAGAAAAGGCATATCCACTGAAATCACTTTTGAGGGGAGTAGCAGGAAGGGCAGGAGAGGTCTACTGTGCCATGTGGGTCCCCTCCACTGTCTGGGGATCGAACTTGTGCTGCAGTGGCTGCAGATAGCTTCGTAGTGCTGTGCTTTAACCACTTGTACCACCAGGGAGGGCTTGAATATCAGTTAAATTTTAAACAGACCATGCATTTACATATATAGTAAAAAAAACACTAGAAGAAAAACTGTTTTTATATTAAAGTAGAGAAGTTCTTTAAAGTATGACAAAAAATTTAGGCATTTGTTCAAAAATAATGCGGCAAGATGTTCACTTGATAAGAGCAGTGAGAGGAGTAGTACTATATGATTAGAACTCAAGTGGTGTGAGGACAGCGCTTAGCAAGGAGTCAAAGTGAAAAGGGTGAGGTAGGGTGTCCATGGGAAAACAGCTTGGAAGAGAACTCTAGACATTAAGTATGATGAAAATGGTATCCATCTAGAAGATGGTCTGATGTAGAGTATCAGAGTTCAAGAGACATAATAAGGAAGTTTGAATTCAGGAAAGGTAGCCTGCAAGAATCAGAGTTAAATCAAGGAATGAAAGGCATTACACAAGAAGAGGGGATGATGGAACTGATCACACAAATTAATAAGATAATGCCAGATTTCTGTCAGAAGAGAGTTAAGATATAAAGTGAGAAAATTAGAACATTAGAGTGTTAGCCCTGTTCATGGATCAGAAGAATTAGCATCATTAAAATGGCCATCCTACCAAAAGCAATTTACATATTTAACACTTTTCCAATAAAAATCTCAATGACATTCTTCAAAGAAATAGAACAAATATTGTTGAGATTTACACAGAATCACAAAAAACCTCAAATCGCCAAAACTCTCCTGACTAAAACAAGAGACATGCCCAGACTTCAAACTATACCACAAAACCATAATAATCAAAACTGCATGGTACTAGAATGAGAATAGACATACAGACCAAAGGATTTTAATAGAAAACCCAGGTGCAAACCCAGTTTTATGGACAGCTAATCTCTGACAAAGAAGCAAAGAATATGCAATGAAACAAAGAAAGTTTGTTCAACAAATGGTGCTAGAAAAATTGGACTGCTACATGCAAAAAAAATGAAGCTAGATTACTACCTCACAACATGCACAAAACCAACTCAAAATGGATTAAAGAACTAGACATGGGATCTGAAACCATAAAATAACTAGAAGAAAATGTTGGTGAAACGCTCCATGACATACACCTCAGCAACAATAGTGAAGGAAAGGATAAACAGCTGGGACTACAACAAGTTAAAGAGCTTCTGTACCATAGAAGAGACATTAAATGAAAGAAAAAGACACCCCACTGATTGGAAGAAAATTTTTGCACATAATACTAATGGCAAAGATATACAAATAGCTTATAAAACTCAACAAAAATAAAGCAAACAAGCCCATCAAAAAATGGGCTAAAGAGCTAAAAAGACACTTCTCCAAAAAGGAAATGCAGATGGCCAATAGGCATATGAAAAAATGTTCATCATTACTTGTACTAAGGGAAATGCAAATCAAAACCACAAAGAGATATCATCTCACACCAGTGAGAATGGAACACATTAAAACAACTAGCTACAACAAATATTGGCAAGTATGTGGAGGAAAAGGAACTCTCCTACACTGTTGGTGTGAATGTAAACTGGTCCAACTACTATGGAAAGCTGGAGGTTTCTCAAACTGCTAAAAATGGAGCTTCCATTATGACCCAGCAGCCCCACTCCTAGGTATCTTCCAAAAAGACACAAAAACACTGATTCATAAGGACACCTGTACCCCTGTGTTTACTGCTGCTCTATTTACAATAGGGAAGATAGGGAATCATTCCAAATGCCCAAAAGTAATGACCAAATTAGGAAGATGTGGTACATATACACAATGGAATATTGCTCAGCGATCAAAAAAAGATAAACTCATGCCTTTTGCAGCAACATGGATGGAGATGGAAGGGATCATGCTTAGTGAAATAAGCCAAAAAGAAAAAGAAAAATACGGGATGGTTTCACTCATAGCAAGAGAATAAAGGAACGGGGGGGGGGGGGGGGGAGAGGAAATATAATAATAATGAACAACTATATACCAGAGACATTTTACGGGGGTGGAGTGGAGGCTGGGATCAAAAATGGGGTGAAAGGGGAAGTGCACTGGACTATGGTGATGGCACAAGGTGATTTGGTGATGGGAAGCCCACGGGGATTACAATTGAGATGGAAAAAGGCACAAAATGATGTAAAAATAAACTATTACATTAAAAAATATAGGCAGTTTGATGAATAGATGAATATGTTGCCCCAGACAGTAAATTTCATTTTGTCAAGTTAGGATACTAAAACAAAAATTGTTATGTGTTGTCACTGAATTTTCATAGAGAAAGAACAATTTGACCTCAAGTAATAAAGTTACAAACTGAACAATTAAAAAAAAGCAATTGTAATAAAGTAAAAATGCAAAATGATGAACAACTATAAGCCAGAGATTTTACGGGGGTGGAGAGGGGAACAGGATCAAAACTGGGATGGGAAAAGCACACAGATGGTGGTGGCACATAGGTGAATGGGTGAAATTACAGTGTTAGTTAAACAGAAAGTAAAGCCATCAATGTGAAATTACAGTGTTAGTTAAACAGAAAGTGAAGCCATCAATGTGATCTCATGATTATATATGTATATATGAATGAATGCATGCATGTATGAGTGAAACTGTTTGGATGACTGTAGATGTGCATACATGTATTCCCTTGCTCTGTCCATTTACAGAATCCTCCAGAAACAGTGGAACTCTAATAGCAATGAATATAACTGGCATCTGGATCTTCTAAATAACATTTTGTATAAAAGAGATAATGGTTATTTGGAGAAATGACTGATTCCAGGTTGGAAATAAAGATGAACCTGGAATATCTGTGGCAAAACAAATGCTCAAATAATGACTGAGAATATGTGAAGGGACATAGAAAGCAGTGTGAACATGTCAAATGGGACAGAAATCACTAAGGTTATGTGGTGTACTAAGATTTATAATGACAGTAAAGAGTTTATAACTTGCTGAAAGATAGTGCCTATAAATTCATGCTATTATAAATGAATGTCTAAACCAAAAAAGGATAAACCACATCAGTAAGAAATGGAATGTTTACAGTACCTCCTTGCAAAATACTGAAGTAGAAAGGGAAAAAGTAACTATGGTAGAAATGCTGATCAGATTCTGCTTTAATCAAGTGATGAAAATAAATATCATCATTAGTAGGACCAACTGAAACAGTGTCACCTGATATCATGCAATATTGATGCGGGGAAAGGATGTCCTGAACAAACTCTACAGATTCAGGTTTTATGGCTCCACCCCCACCCCAGACACTGGAACTAAAAATCCCTGCATCACTAAAGTGAAATGTGCTGGGACCTGAGGGTGGCATTAAGCAGTGATGTTTGTATATAATACCAGTCATGTGGGCTTTGGGGGTTCTCTTGGCCTCATGGCTCGTGGCTCATCTCTTGGCCTTTTTACTGGCTTTCAGCATGCTATTGGGGTTCCAGGTTAGCAGAACTGGAAGGATGCATTAACCAAATTATCTTTCTTCCCCTGAGTTATTCATTTCTCTTTCTTTGGTAAAAGAAAAAACAAACAAATGAAAAAACCCATAATTAACCTTTTAGTGTGTGCCTGCAGTTGAATTTTACAAGTCCCTTTAAGCCCACAGGTAAGGACTCACAGTCAGGCAACCCAATGTGACAATATCACAGTACCATTTTTATATTTTTCAAAGATGCATAAACCTAAATCTAATTATAAGGAGATGTCAAACCTGAATCTGTTCTAAATAATCTTCAAAGTTGCCAGTAATGAAAATCAAGGCCACTATGAGGAATTATTTCAGACTGAAGAACAGTGGGAAAGGAAGAGGGAAGAGACTTGGAAATTAAATAGAATAAATGTTTCTGAATGGATTCTTTTGCGTGAAGGGTGCTAATAGGACAGTCAGAAACTTAATGTGGTCTATAAATTATAAAATAGTAGTGTGTCAAAACTAACTTCTGATTTCAATAGTTGAAGCATGTTTATTCAGGAGAGTATCCTAATTTGTAGAAAATACACACTAAAGTGTAGGAGGTAACAAGGACAGGCTGACAATTTACCCTTGAAGGTAAAAAATGGGCTTAAAATAAATACTTTTAACTCTTCTCTAATTTGTAATAATGTCACAAAAGAAAAATTTCACTATATTTTATCTGAAGGGCTACAAATTACAGAAAAGATCAATAATTCAATAGAAAAATGGACCATGGACAAGAACAGATAATGTGGGATTAAGGAAATACAAATGAAATGCTAATAAAAACTTTATGTAGCAGATTATCAAAGGTCAAAAAGGTTGATAATATACCAGTATTAGCAAAGGGTAATAAACACGAGCACAAAACAGTTCTAACTGCTCTAAGAAGAGCAATTTGGCAATGACTAGTTTTAAAGAGTAATTATGTAGTGATACACTATTATATATTGACAGTCACTTCTGAGAATCGATTTTGCAATTATATTCACGTATGTGGGCAAAATAGTACCAAGATATTTCATTGCAGTATTATGTACTACTCTGCAGGGTAGCAATCAAAATGTTCATTAACAAGCAATCAAAATGCTTATTAATTAAGGTTTTTATTAAATTATGTATAGA